GGTTGTCAGCTTGTCCACGAGAATAATCATCTGATGAGGCTGGTTTGTCGGCCAGGAGTATCCTCTCTCGCCCTTTCCCCTTCAGCCACAGAGTGACCAGTGATGGGGGGTCAGACAGCTCCAAACAGCCTGTCACTCACCAGGACTGGGTGGGTGGGTGAGTGGGTGGCTTGTTGGTTTAGAGGGACGTGGACACAGGCTGGGGCCCAAATCTTCAAACCCCTTCTTGGCAAAAGCTGCCTTCGTATAGAAAAGCACTAAAGCAGAATAACTCAGCGGTTATCATCTCATCTCAGCAGTACGTCACTTGGACTTGTAATCGTTTGCAAAATCAACACCTACCGCCTCACTAAGGCCACGTCCACATTACTCCGTTTCCATTTGAAAACGAATATGTTTTGCTACGTTTACACTGAGTTTGAAAAAGGCTCCCGAGGAGGGATACGTTTGAAAACTCCGGGGCTGCGTCTTCGTGTGGACGGTTGAAAACAGATACATTTAGGAAAGATGATGCCCACACCCGCGTTCGCTACTTGATTGGTTCTTAGCAGTCACGACGTGTCCTTCCCTGATTCGTCACTCACCAATCACGTGACCCTTTACCGGAAGCTCACAAACAATAACATTGATTACCGATCGACTACCATGTTAATTTTACATGGACCACTGATTACAGGTGTTGCTGACCTTGTTGTCTTTACCAGCAGCTGTTGTTCAGTTAAAGTCTGCCTTATTACAGAGGAAGCAGCTGTTAATGGTGAGAATAGTGACCAGCAGCGTTATCAGACCTACGGAGCGGACGTCTGAAGTCACGGTTAGCGGCTTTAGGGAAAGTGATGGACACAAAACAGAGGACTTTCCTTTCCTTATTAATGCTTATTTTGTTCTGCACAACTATTGTGAAGTCCACAAATAAACTATAAAGGAACAAAACATGAATTGCTCTCCAGTACGACAGACTTCAGCCACCAGCAGAGCTACGAGTGAGAACAGACAACGAAACCGAGAGGGAACGAGTGAGAGACGTGTGTTGACCACATTTATGACCCATAATCTAGTAAACCTTCATGTGTAAGTGTTGATTTTAAAGTAAATGTGAGAGAGAGATAAAGACTAAGTCTGAAAAATAAAACTTTCCACGAAATGTGTCTGTTTCAGTTCATAGAGGAAGATTTTAGAGAAGACCTGAAGTATCAAACACGACCGTTCATTAGTAAAGACTACTTTATTACTCTGTCGTATTTTTTTTAAACCAAGCAACCAATCTACTTTCTGTTTACATCGGCACCATCACGCCCAGTGTACGTGAATAGTCACGCGATATTCGTTTTCAGTTGTTTTAGGGTGGACGGAGATCATTTCGAAAACGATGCTGAAACGCCGTGTGGACGGAGATCAACGGAGTAGTGTGGATGTAGCCTAAAAGAGGACTTTCTGATTTTGGGACCAGTTGTGTGTAAGAAGTGGTTCGTCGGGGATAAAAGCTTGGAAAGTTAGCCGAAGTCGCTTTTGGGCAATTCCACAAAACTATCAAAGCCATATTATTCATTTCCAGTTGAATCCCCGCGCCATCTGTAGGTATACAGCTGCCGCATGCTCAGTCACCAGGGAAAAGAAGTGGAACCACTGCCTTTCATCTTTAATTTCTTTTGTATATACTGACCTAGTAAAAAATATATGAACTTATCTGTACTTCCCACCACAGACAGAGGGAGCTTAACAAGCGACTGTGGGATTCAGAGCGAGTGAACTATTTCTTTTGAAATGGGGTAAACTCAGTTTGTTATTCTATTAGGAAAGACAATGCCGCTCCCTGGGGTGCCCTGCAGTCACCCCTCTGAGAGAGGGAAAGAAGCGGAAAGAAGCACAGGAGAAGAGAAAAAGATATGGTTGTCCCTGGAGGGCTCTGCAGCTGATCCTAGATCAGTTATGCCGTCTATCTGCAGACAATTAGGAGGTTGGAGAAGCTGGGGAGGGTAAATAGTTCTTAGATCTGTACTGTGGGAGCAATGTTAACAAGGCACCACTGGAGGCATAGTTGGTTCCAAGGGGAGTGTGTGTGTGTGTGTGCGTACGTGTGTGAGACCCATCTAATGGGCCCCCCTGAGGAAACACCCAACAGCTAACCCATCTCTGTCTCTCTCTCACACACACACACACACACACACACACACACACACACACACACACAC